TTACACAGTATATACAATAAAAAATCAGTGTGCAAAATGTGATCTAAAGAAATGTACTATCGTTGAACAAATACCAATAGTAAAAAATTTCCAGTCTTAAATTAAAAATTAAAGAAAATTCAAATTCACAGAATCTATGTGAATGAATTACAGGATTACATTATTAAACAGGGAAGTTTTTAGCCTAACTAGAGCTTATATTGGGACAAAGAGGTGATGGTAATGGAGGTGGAGGTGAGAGAACATTTTGGAAGTGTTCAAGCTGCTGAAGTTTATTTTTATTTCCTCAGTGTGTTATGGGTTATATTCCATAAGAAAATGGGATAGATGACGTTCCATCCCTCCTGCCTGTACACCTCAGGGTAAGTAAAGAACTGCTATGAGGCAATACAAATTCTTAGCCATATGGACTCTTTTTAAAATTATTCCTGTCTCAATTCTCAATAGTAGGAAGAGTAATCAAGTCTTTAAAAACAAAGAAAAGAATATGAATAGGTGTTAACCTCAGTTCTTTAGTAAATTTTACTTACCAACATTTTTATATTAGCTCAGTAATAAAAGTTCACAGAAAAAAAAAACCTAACTGAAATGCTACCACTTCCGTTTCCTTATCACACCAAAATTGTATTAGGAAAACATTTTTTTCACCCAGAGGGTTGTTGGGCACTGGAACAGGCTCCACAGGGAAGTGGTCCCAGCAGCAGCCTGACAGAGTTCAATAAATGTTTGGACAGTGCTCTCAGGCACACGGTGTGAGTCTGGGGGGTGGTTCTGTGCAGGGCCAGGAGTTGGACTCAGTGACCCTGATGGGTCTCTTCCAACCCAGCGTATTCTGTGATGTCTTCTCCTAGTTCTTAAAAAAATTTGAAACAGTGGTGTCTCAGTCAAATTACATTTCTGCCAAAATTATGATAAAATAAATAACTTTCTGTTTCTTGCCTATGTTCATTCTTCTCTTAAAGCAACTTCCTATTTACAGACATGTAATTCTGTGGCAGTTGGAAATAATTCAGAGCTGACGTATATTCATTTATTTATAAAAGGGGAAGGTTAAAACCTTCAGCTAAAATCTGAATAATATGGAAAGAAGCGTGTTCAGTCCAAATTCAGCCTGGCACTTAGCCATATGTTGTTTAACTTGAAGCTTGTCATTGCCATTAATATTCAGATGACTACTCATGTGCAATTGTTGACAATCAAGCAATTGTTTAAGTGTAGTGGCAGACCACAGGCAGAACTCTTACCCCTTTGCAGTACAAAAAGGCTACTTATTAAAATAATGTCAAACTCAACAACCATACACTTCTTTATGACTTCATATGTATGTTACATACCAGATAAAACAATAATGCCGTACTCAGTTAACAGAAAAACTCAGCAGTGGCCTTGCATCCATCAAGGTAAGTATCAAGGTCTGAGCTTATAACTAAAATGCAAATGACAAAGCAGAACAGCAACTCTGAAGTACTTCTACAATGGTTCAATCAGTCTCACTCAGATATTTTATATCTGACAATATATTATTTGTTGTATCTGAGAAAGAGGGAGCATGGCACTGCCTCAATTCCTGTATCCTCCTAATCCCACCCATTCATCACCTTACAGGGTTCCTGACTATCTCAAAAGCAGTTGATATTAAAACACTTCCATAACACACTATTAACACATACCCCATGTATTTATGTTAAATAACTTCCTATAAAATAAACCAGAACCATAATCGGGACTGAGATTTTCTATGTGATGGTTGTCTGTAGATGTTAGAACAATAAATAGTCTTTAAATAAAACATCACAACAAAACAATGAAATAATGATTTCAAACACTTTTCCAGGTCCAATGGCATCACACACTGCTTCACCTTCACACTGCCATCTATGTATTTTACACTAAGTAAGTTTATCAAACCAGATATGTGGCCTGATTGGTCTGTAGTGACCTGATTGAGGGCCATAAATCAGGGCAAAGGCCCTGATTTATGTAACACACCTCCTGTTTGCTTGGGAGCTTAAGGTGTGAAGGAGTCGCCCTATCTAATACATAATTAAGATGGTGTCAGGGGGAGGATGAAGTTTAAAGCCCTCAGAATTTCTGTACAGTAGTGTTACATGGAATTTCAAGGAAAGATACACTTTAAAAAAACCCCAAAGATGCTTGTGTGGCATGCATCATTCATATACTATGTAAACTAAACAGAAAGAAGAATCTTGTGGGCATTCAGAGTGTAATGATCTCCAGAAGTTCTTGCAGCTGTTGAAACTCCTACATAAGTAAAAGGAGCTTTCCCTGAAAGCCTTTTATTTTACACAGCTTAATAGAAATTTAGGCTTAATTTTGCTTTCTATTGCAGAATATGGACACAGGCTTGTTCAAGGTGTTTTGCATCTGCCTAACCTGAGTTATGTGAAGAGTTCTGTCCAAAGCCAGTAGGACTATTCACATGCTCAGACACCTGATTAAGTGCCTTGCTGGACCAGGGCCAGAAACACAATAGTGGGCTGGGTTAAGCTGATTAGAAATGTTTTGCTGGCTCTAGTGGTAGCAGGACCTAGCCTTTATTGCCACTTTGCAAAATCTGGTGCTCAACAGGAAAAAAATCAGAACTCTGTAGTTCTTTCAGTGTTCTACTGGGTAAAGTTTGAATACAGGAACAAATGTAGCTCATTTAGCCTTAAGTGGAAATGTGCATTACTGAGAATGGATCTATTTTTCCACATGAAAATAAAATTTCTTGCTTTGTTGTAACTCTTGAAATAAAGTGGTTTATTCTAATAGGCTGTCTAGACAAATGTTGTCTATTTATAACTATAACAAGGAAGAATATAGTTTAAAGAAATGGTGAGGAGAATCCTTTCAGCTTTGTGAGATGCTTTTAATAAAGTAACTTATATTTTATAATTGAATGTTGTTGTAAATAGTATTTCTGGAAAGTGGAGCTAGGTGGCTGCATGGCTTTTTATAGCTGGTATAGGTGGCTCGTTAACGAGGGATTAACAGACAAAGTGGCGCCACACAGTCCCTCTGTCTCTGGGTAAACCTAATGATTCCTGGCATCACCCTTGCCGCAGAAATCTTTATATTTGTGTGATGAGAGATCATTAACACCAGGCTGAGGAGCCCTTCCTTCCCTTGTGACAGAATTCCTAACAGGCGTTCTGCAGCGCTAAGTCCCCGGCCGAGCACAAATTATCAATACTGATTACGGGATTGCTGCAGTGGGGAGGGGACGGCGTGCTCGGCACTGCAGGGCTGGCCAGGCTCCCGCAGCCCTCACGTCCCTGCTCTGTTTGCATCTACAGCTGTCTCATGCCTTGCTCCCAAGGGTGCCACAGCCGGGTTAGAATGCTTTCAATGCACGGCAATTGTTCCTTGGGAGCGGAACATCAGCATTCAGATAAACGCTTTGGGGTAATGCATCGGGTTCAGCCGGTGCCAGGAGGGTTTGCTGTAACTTCGTGCAATGCGATGAACAGCGGTAACAAGAATCTGCACAAATGGAAATTTGAACTGGATTTGCTCCTTGGAGAGGACACTAATCGTGTTGGGAGCACTTCATCTTTATTTTGTGGGATTTGCGTGTGCATGACATTAATGGTGAACGATTGTGAAAACTTGAATTTGAATGCGTCAAATGCAGGTCCAGCCTCTTTCCTCCTCAAAAAGAAAAAAAGAAAAAAAAAAAAACCCAAATCCAAAAAACCCCCCAAACGAACAAAAAACCAACCGTAAGGAGCGTTAGGCTCTGGACGCTTTCAGCAGTCCGACCCCACGACTGTTCTCCCTCTCTTTCTTCCACACCCTCCTTGGGATTTTTTCTCCCACCCTACCCAGCAGCCTCCCTCGAACAAAGGGGCCAGTGCCGGGCTACCGCCCCTCGCTCCCGCCAGGAGCAGCAGGACGAGCAGGGACCGCCGGGCAGGCGCTCCCCGAGAGCCCCTCGGGGCCGGGCGGGGCGGAGGGGCCGCGCCCCGCGGGGCCGCTCCCGGGGCGGGCAGGGGCGGGGGCGCCGCGGCGGCGGCAGGGCGCGGCTCCTGCGGGGCAGGGACGGAGGGAGGCAGGGGGATGGCTGCTCTCCGTGCCGCTGCGAAACGCGAGGTAACAGCAGCCCCGCCGGCTGCCCCCGGGGACAGAGCGCAGGGCGGGCGCTGCTGGCGCACACCGGCTCTCCGTGATGCAGTGACCTACTTCACCGGCCCCCGCCCCCCGGCGGACTGCAGGTGCGGGCAGCGCCGGGGCAGCGCCGAGCGCGGCTCCCCCTCGCCCCCGCCCGCAGCCCCGCGGTGCCGTGCGGGGCCGGGCCGGGCTGGGCGCGGCCGGCCGCAGTGCGCGCCTGGCGGGGTCCGCCCCGCCGCAGCCCCCCCGCACCGCACCGCACCGCGGCCCGCCGGCCCGGCCCGGCCCCGCCCGCAGCCCCCGAGCCGCGCCGAGCCCCTTCGGGCGGCGGTGCCGCTCCCCCGTTCTTCTTTTCTTCTCCCCACCCGGTTTCAGAGGTAGAGGGGAGCGCTGACTCCGGCCGGCGGGGATGGGTGGAGGCACATTGACTACAGGGATAACTTTACCGTTCGTTTTTATTTTTTTTCTTTCTTTCTTTATATATATATATATATATATACACACATATATAAACACACACATACACATATATAGTATCTATCTATATCTGTTATATATATGCATATATATATATATATAAAATATCTATTAACCTTTAAAATAATGAAAACCGTTTCAAAATTATGCCGTGCTCATGTGCCGACCTCACCCATTGCTATATGATTAATCCGATCTCTGGTTAGATACTAAAACGTTAAAACATCCCCATGTCCCACCCACCCTCTCCTTTTTTCTCTGATCAATGAAATAAAAAATACGTTCAGCGTTCTCTTGATTTTTTTTTTCCTAAACTTTTGGGAGAGCGAGAAGAACACCCAGGGTAGGTAGCAGACGTAGGAGACAGTAGCCTTAGTGCTGGCTGAAGGAAAAGAGAGGCGTTTTCTTACCCATTGCTGTTTTAGCCATGCTGGGATGTGCAGCTCTCAGAGGCAGAGAAGGCAAAGGGGTCCAGCTACAGCAGTGGAGAGAGGGAGAGAAGACTGAATAAGGCACTGAGTCAGCAGAGTGGGGCTGTGCAAGAGAAGGAGCAAGAGGCAGGAGCCCATGAATAATTATCACTCCTCCACCCAAGCAGATTGGCTCGAGAGGTCCCCTGACATGACTCCTGCAGAGCCAGAATCTCCGGGCATTAAATATTGATCCACCAATGGTGCCGGAGTACAAAGTGCCAGAATGCAGTTTGAAATGGAAATCAGTCCTTGGATGCTTCTCCCCCCTTGGTCTGGTGTTAATAGTACATTCCATGTCAAATGTTTTATGTCTTACATGAAAAAAGCCTATTGGTGTTGAGGGCTCTGCTGTTGCTACCTGTAAAACATGCACAAATTCATTTCAACATATTTCAATCCAAAGATGCAACAAGAAGAGGGACCAGTGCAAGGGATTTCCTAGACCATTTCAGTAAAAGAGCTGCTCAGATTATTTTTGCCTCCTGCAAGGGTACACAGATATCCTATGCAATTGTTTTATACTGAATGTTTCTGCCTTTTAGTACCTTTTTTACTGTTTTACTGTCCCCAGAACTAACCTTGGTCATATCAAACTTTTCTTAACCTTGGGAAATGGCAGGTGGACCTGCTTACCCTCTCAAAGGGCTCTGGAAATCCCAGAACAGGATAAATGTGGACAGAAGTCAGTAACTACTTCCCTGATGCACTATGGTAAGAGTCACTGGGAAGATGTGATTGATTCCCTTGATAAAGTGTGCAGGATGGGATCTCATGTGGTCATTACATGAAAGGGGATGGACACGTTATAAGAATTCCCTACACTAATTTTAAGAATTCTCTATCCCTGGCAAGAGGAAAGACAGTGACATAACTGGCAGTCACTAAACAAATGTGGTAGAGGTTAATTGAAACATTGCTAGAAACAGGGCAGTGATGGGACCTGTTTGTACATCTCGTAGGCCTGGGAGCAGTTGCTGGCCTAGAGGAGCCAGTATCCAAGACCTTGGCACAAAGAGAGGGATGCTCCGCCTTTGCCTTCTCATCTCACTGTCCAGCTGGAGCTCATTTGCCTCTCTCAGGGGATAACCAGCCTTATTGTTAAGAGCTTTCAGGGATACCAGACTCCCACGCTGCTTCCAGACAGACAGGCCCCTGGGCAAATTTTCAGCTTGCAATTTGGAGGATGCTCCTTGTAGATGTGTTTCCTGGGTGTGTATGGGTGGGTGGGAAAAGCAGGGCATTGGCACCATTGTTCTTCCTTGTGTGGGGCTGTGTGCAGCTGCACAGGCCACACTGCATGCCATCCCTAGCTGTGATGCTCTCACTCTGTGTCTGCTTCCCTAGAATTGGTCACTCCCAATTATGCTTCTCAAGCTTCCTTGAAGTCAGTGAAGAGCATCTTTGAGTGAAGCATCACTCAGAGCATGGGCATAAGGCTAGCTTTGTCTTTGAGACAGTGATGACGATGCTAAAAACTAAACTAGGTTTTTTCTTTAAATGAGAATAGTAAAGTCTGTAAGTGAGTCTGGGGAGAGAAACATTCCCATTCACAGACACCAGCATGTGAGCTGAGGCAAGGCAGACACCGTGATGGCTCCCTGCTGAGGCGCAGGCAGAGGGGATGAGAACAGGTGTATCGGGATGTAGGGCACAGGGGATGAGAACAGGTGTATTGGGATGCAAGGCACAGGGATGAGGACAGGTGTGTTGGGATGCAGGGCACAGGGGATGAGAACAGGTGTATCGGGATGCAAGGCACAGGGGATGAGGACAGGTGTATCGGGATGCAGGGTACAGGGATGAGAACAGGTGTATTAGGATGCAAGGCCAACCCACCCTCCTGAGCGGCCCTGCCCGCGGGGAAGGCGGCCCCGGGACCCGGCGGCTTTCTCGAGTGTGTCACTTCTGGGCCCTCGGTTCTGTCGCTGCGTCGGGGCGTTGGTGAGCAGGGGACAAGATTGCGACTGGATGTCTGTGGTGAGAGGAGCTTATTCCCGAGAGGAAACGGTGAGCACCGGCGCAGTGCTACGCACACAAGGCCGGCCTCGCCCCAGCGGAGGGACTCGCCGGGGTTCCAGGGCCGGGGCAGGGTGGGCCCGCCAGGGGTGGTTCAGTGCCGGGGCAGGGGTGGTTCAGTGCCCGGGCTGGAGTGGTTCAGTGCCCGGGCTGGAGTGGTTCAGTGCCCGAGCAGGGGTGGTTCAGTGCCGGGGCAGGGGTGGTTCAGTACCCGGGCTGGAGTGGTTCAGTGCCAGGGCAGGGGTGGTTCAGTACCCGGGCTGGAGTGGTTCAGTGCCAGGGCAGGGGTGGTCCAGTGCCGGGGCAGGGGTGGTTCAGTGCCGGGGCAGGGGTGGTTCAGTGCCGGGGCAGGGGTGGTCCAGTGCCCGGGCAGGGGTGATTCAGTGCCAGGGCAGGGGTGGTCCAGTGCCCGGGCAGGGGTGATTCAGTGCCGGGGCAGGGGTGGTTCAGTGCCGGGGCAGGGGTGGTCTCTACCGGGCGGGGCGGGCCGAGGGTGCCCGGGCGCTCTCCGTGGTGCTGGAGGCGGCGGCGCTCCCGAGCGGGGCGCGATGGGGCACGGGCGGGCACGGTGGGACCGGGAGGGTCGGAGGGGCCAGAGACAGGCCGTGGGGCAGGGACGGACGAGGAGGGGCCAGGCAGGGATCGCTGCGGCTGACCCCGGCCCCGGGGAGCGCTGAGGGTCCGGCTGCCGGCCCCGCCGCTCCCCGTCGCCCTGATGTCTTCCCGACACCGGCGCTCGGCTCGGCCCGGTTCGGCCCGGCTCGGCTGCCCGGGAGGGACGTGACACCGGCGCTGCGCTGACACAGAGCATCTCTGCTCCTCGGCTCCCCATCCCCCGCCCGGCACACCCAGCAGGCAGCGGACCCGCCCCGGCGTCTGCCTCTTCTATTCGGTTGCTTTTCCTTCTTCTCCGAGCTCAAGCAGCGGCACGGGCGGCCGGCAGGGTGGGAAGGCTCCCCCGCCCTGGCGGGAGGGACCTCGCTCGCTTCTCGCTTCCCGGCTGCCGCCGCAGCGGCCGCAGCGCTGCCCCGCTCCCTTCCCCCGCCGCGGGAACGGCGCCGCTGCCGGTGCCCATCCCCAGGCCGGGGCCCCCCGCGGGCCTGTGCGAGGGAGCAGACGCGGATTGTCCGCCCTGGGAGACGTGGGACCCCGACGATGACAGCTCGGGTCTCCCCCAGGAAGCAGCTCCTGGGGCGGGGGGTGCCGAGAAAGCCGTGCAAGAAATTGCTTGGCAATCGCTGTCATGTCAAATCTTGGCGTGTACAGGAGCAGTTATCAGACACCTCATACATCATTTCTGTTCCACTGACTGCCACTTTTTGATGTTTTGTTCCACATAAATTTTACGGGAGCATGAATTAAACTCCAGCATGTCCTAGCAAGGCAAGGACTTATTTTCTTTCACAGTTTGTGCCTTTTCTTGACTGACATTAAAATGTGTTTGCAGGCTAGGCTACCTCCAGGTCTGTGGCTGTACAGCCTGTAAGGATGCGCTGCTGAGCAAAACCCCTGAATTTCTTCTAAATAGCAGTGGGGTGTAACTGGGGCTTTCATCCATTTTTTTGTTGGACATTTATCTGGCCATGGCCATATCACTGAAAACCTTTTGTTCATTTTTCCCAATTGATCTTTTGTCCATTTTTTAGAAAAGATTTTACTTTTTACCCCATTGCAGACAAGGGAAAAGGGGAGGTGGTACTGGAAAGAAAAATGTTTGCGCAGCACTTTGAAGACAATTGCTGCTAAGTAAATGATCTGCATTGGCATTGAAATGTGAATCGCAGAGATGGGAATAGGCCATGAATCTCCTTTTCTGTGACTGTGCTGTGTGGCTGACTGTGGCTTTGCCACTTTGTTTAGTTTTCTTAAATAACCTGAAAAGTCAGCTTTTTTCCTACTGAATTTTGGGAGAATTGTTTACACTTAGCCTTTGTCATTAGGAAATGTAATAGACCTTATTTAGAGGAGCTGATTTTTTTCCTATTTGTTCACTTTTACTCCTTCTTTATGCCTTCAAGAGTGATTTCTCTTTGTATCTATGAAATTTTAGAAAATTAGTTATTAATTTGTTCATTATTAGTTTATTTGCATCTCTCTTGCTTTCACATCCTTACCAAAATTTATGATAAAAGATATTGTTCAGATTGTATGACAAAGTCTTCAAAACTCAAAGAGGAATGGTGCCTATACAACCTTAATTACTCTTCCAATGCATTTATATAGTGATGGAGTTTTAGATCATATACTCACATGTTGTGTTTTTCTCTCTACATACATAACAAGATGGATGATATCCCCTTTTTGAGTACTATTTGATATTTTCTTTTCATTTTGTTCTCATAAAAAGGAACCTTGACACAGTCCTCTGTGCCCTTGAAAGCATGAGTACAATAAGATTTTCTTGCAGGAATGTTTACCAGAATATTTTCCTTCCATGGGTGTAAAAATCTTTTGTTTTGCCTTACTCTTCACAGCAGGTTAACCACAGATTAGAAGGTGTTAGCATAGTTCATGTTTCAGTAAGTAGATAAGCAAGCATATTTTAGTGTGAAATTTAGAGAGAGAAGACTCCAAATATGTGCATGTGTGATTTTCATAATCTTTGTAACATTTGGGATTTTTTGGTAACTTCTTCTGAAATTTTCTGTAGAACTGTATAAATATACCAAGCAGATGAAAAGATCAGCTGTGTACTGAAAACACAGGGAGAAAGAAAGAGCAGAGATATATATATATATGTGTGTATGTATGACTGCCTTGTATCTGAAGTATGGTGACCATTTTCTTCTTTCTTATTCTTTCATTTCCCTGTAACACCCGTGCTGTGACGAATGACGCAGTGGAGTACTGTTACATTCCCATTAGCATTTCTCTGCTTCTGAAATTGTGCTTTTTTTTGCTGAGCATAGCCTATCTAAAAATCATCTTGCAAAGAAGCTTGGTAGCAGCTTGATAAGCCAGCTGCAAACAATGTCACCATTAGTGATTTCAGTCGCTGCTTGTTCCACACACATGTTGGAGAAAGGCAGCTTTAGCGCTCGCCTGGTTTCATGCAGGCTTTTATTCTTGCATGGCTGCACGTGGTGCTCCTTTCAGCAGCATTCAGGATCACCGTGGGGAAGCTGAATAATGATATTATGGCATTTGTGGATTTATTTTTTTTTAAATTTTCGTA